TTGGATTACTAACAATTTGCATATATTTGTGGAAATACAAATTCTAAGGTGTTTCTAAGGAATTCAGTAGATGAGGAAGGATGGTCAAGGTCTTTAGAGAAAAATGCAGAGTACTGAACGTCTAATTGTTCCCATTACTTATTATTGTATAATAAAGTACCCCCAAAATTACTGCTTTGAAACAATTTATTATTATCCCATGATTCTGTAGATCTCGTAGAATCATGTGGGCAGTTGTCATTTGAGGTCTCTCCTTTTTCTCTCATGTGGCTTCCATCAGATTTTGGGTGGAGTTAGCTCTAAGTTTCATAAAAAATTGATACAATTGATTCTGGCCATTACCTAGTAGCTCAGCTAGGCTATTAACCACACGAGCTCTCCTTGTGGTCTGGGGTTCTCACAGTATGGTGGCTGTGTTCTACAGTGAGTGTCAAATATGCAAATATCTATATCCAAAGGTACCAATGAGGAAGAGGTAAGGGTTCTGATAATCTAGTCTTGGATACCCTGAAATGTCACATCCATTACATTATTTTTTCAGGGAAATCACTAAGGCCAGCCCAGATAAGAGGGGAGTGGAATTACACTACATCTCTTGGAGGAGTGGCAAGATCATATTGCAGAAAAGTATATGGTATTGTTTTGTATATAAAGATGTTGTTTTGGCCATCTTTGGAAAATAAAACCTGCAATAGTTCACACTAGGTTATAATATCACAGATTTCCTTTTACATACAAAATACATTCACAAAACAAAACAAAAACAAAATAAAACAAAAACAAAAACAGAATACATTCACCTCTTCCCTAGTTCAAAATCCAAGATCTCAGCCTCTAAATCAGGCACAATGTGAATAGAGCTCCTTTGGTTCAGTTCCTTGTATACAGATCCTTGAATGTAGTTCCTCTCAATCTGAAGACATGTGAAGTAAAGAAATGAGAAGGAAATCTACTATTTATACAGCCAACACACCATGGTGATACAGAGATGGATAACTGTAATAGATACTCATATGTAAAATATTGGGAGAGTCAGATTACAGTCACTAGGCCATTATAGTTTTTAAAATCCAGCCAGAGATTAGTATCACCAGTTTCTTTCTTTTTCTTTTTCTTTTTCTTTTTTTTTTACTATTTCTTTCTTTTTTCCTTTTAAATAGTTTACTGTCAAGTTGGTTTCCAGATAACACTCAGTGCTCATCCCCACAAATGCCCTTCTCCATGCCCATCATCCCCCTACCTCTCCCCCCCATACCCATCAATTATCACCAGTTTCTTAATAAGGACAAGATCCTTCTCCCTGGGAATGATTCTCCACAGATTTTGTCTAGCCTGTGGGCAATTGTCTCTATATTCTATGTCATCTTTGGTTTTCATTGATTAGTGACCTGTGTTTACATCTGAGTAGTTTTCTTCATCTGCTTCTTGCCTAATGAAGTTGGAGACCTAATGGCCTCTTTACATTTTGCACTAACTCTGTCCCTTGTAGTCCGAGGTGATGGTGCTTACATCTGTTCATTTCTCTTAAAAATTATGGTTCTCAGGACACCTGGTGGCTTAGCTGGTTGAGCCTCTGGCCCTTGATTTCATGGTCCCAGGGTTGTGGGTGCAAGCCCCACGTGAGGCTCTGTGCTGAGTGTGGAGCCTGTTTTGGATTCTCTCTCTCTCTCCCTCCCTCTTCCTCTCTCCCCTGTTGGTGCTCTCTCTCTCTCTCTAACATTAAAAAAAATGTGGTTCTTTATGAATCTTTTAGGGTTTACTCCATTAGACAAAATTCATACCCACAGATATCTTCCAGATTACCCCCTGTCTGATTTTGCCTGAGAGTTAATGATTCTCTGGGAAAATATCCTTGAGATTTCTAGAAGTTTCTTTGCCTAATTAAAAAGATTAATTAGGCATACCCTGAAGTATTTCTCTACTCTTAGCAAAGTATATAAAGAACTTTATAGTCTCATCCTAGAGATGACATTACACCCTGAGGACACTTTTTCCTTTGAAAGTCTTTTGTAATTTGAAAAGGCTGGAGAGAGATTTCTTTTTTATTTGAATTCAGCTAGCCATGACTCCTTTGTATTTACTCTAAGTTATGCTTGAACACTGAATAATTTCATTTTAGCTTACATCTATCTGTGGTATAAAAATAATGTTGATATTTTCAGTGTTCTGCTTCAAAATCTCCTTGGTCAAACACATCAGTTAATTAGGTATATTTCCTACTTTCCAAGTTATGGTATCTCTGAACTCTCCATAGCTACATAGTACTTATACCTTTTGCTCCAGCCTCCAATAATAATCTCATTGTCTTTCAGGCCTCAATTAATATCTCCTTCAAGGCTCTTTCAGCTTCTGCCTGCTGCCTATTCCAAAACTAATGCTACACGTTTTGGTTTTTGCTACGTCAAGACCTCACTTCCTGTTACCAGTTTCTGCATAATTTTTCTATTGCTGCATAACAAACCTTCCCCAAGTTTATTGGCTTAAAATAGGAAATTATTACTTCTTGTGGTTCCATAACTTGGCTTCAATCAGCTGAGTAGTTCTCTCTGGAGTCTCTCACACATTATACAGAGATGTCAGTTGAGCCTACAGATAACTGAAGTCTCAACTAGACTTGATGTTTAATATGGCTTACTAACATGACTCGTAGTTGCTGCTAACTCAGCTGGGATCTCAACTGGGGCTGTACACCAGAATTTTTAGACATGGCTTCTTCATTTGCTTGTGTCGGAGGCTGCGCCGGCTCCAACAGGTCCAGGGGTCCCTGAAGGACGGACGGTGTCGGCGAAAGACAGCAAGAGAGCCCCGAGATCCTTTCTGATCACCAGGCAGGCATCTCTGTCCTGTCGGTTTTGGTGTCTTTATTTATAGGTCAAAAGTTAACATGGCATCAGGAAATGGAATTTTTACAATGGATAGCTCTTTGTGATAAGGCGTTTTTGGAAAATGTACAGAAACAGGTTTTACTGAAGTCTTCTTGCAGAACTGCCCCAATTATAGTGAAGTTGAGTAACTAAGAAAATAACAAGGTGTTCACATTATAATAACACTAAGATTAAGTCATAGGTGTGTAGATACTCTTATCCATCCTCATCACAGCTGCCAGGGTAAGGGAAGGTGTTTGTGGAAAGTAGGCCTTAGGGAAGGGGCTGCTATACACCATCAGTTAGCAAAGGTGTATGTACTAACTTATCTTCTGCCCTTATCTGTTCCTTCTCTCTAAGTTAGGCTCTTTGTCTCCGGGCAAGACTTGGTTTTCCAGTTATATGCTTTATGACACCAGAGAGCCAACCATACCTTTAAAGAGTTTAGCTTATTTCCAATACATAGAATAGCCTCTTTGAGTGCATTTACCTTTGTGTCTACTTTTATGATTTCTAGAATAGCTAGGGCATGAGAGACATTTTTGGTTAGTTGATTTACATGTTGAGCTGTATGAACATCTTGGACTAATGCAACAGTAGAAACAGAATTGTACATGTAAAGGTCAATCTTTTATGACTAGGGGTCATTAGCATGTTCATAGCTCAAGGGAAAGTATGGAGGGAAACAGGAACTGCTGGAGACATGATGTCTGTTCCCATAATCAAAAGAAGAAGTTCTCACAATAAGTTCCTTCTCAAGGTGCAATCATCATACCAGGGCCGGAATAATGGGACAAGTCACTCCCGATATTGATCAACAGGTACCTTAGGGGTCAGTGCTCAAGCAGAAATAATTGAGTGGGGGTGGATATCGGTCATCATCTGATTGGCAAGAGACCGTGCAAACTTGCTTTAACCTCACCAGGAGTTTTCTCGACTAGTGGGCTCAGAATGGCTCCCAACATGCTTGGGATACTCCTAGCTCAGTGTTTGGTTTCAAAGGAGCATACCAAGATAAAATATTTAAGAGGCCCAGGTGGAAACTGCAAAGATTTTTGTGGCCTACCCTGAGAAACCTCAGAATATCATTTCCCTGAATTCTGTTGATTAAGGAATCCCTATGTTTAACCCAGATTCAAGAAAAGTAGAATTAGACTCCAACTATAATGTGGGAATGACACACTGCAGAAAAGCATGGAGATGGAATATAGTATTGTGTCTATCTTTAGAGAATAAACCTACCACAGCAAGTTATTAATAGGTCATCTCTGTGTTCATTAAGATCACCAGTAATCATCACAAGAATTCTTTGTGCCAGAAGCAACATCCTTCAAAGACTATATAATAAGTAGAGATAATTGATAATATTTTTTATGATATGAGATTTGCAGTTATGGAATTTTAAGGTAAGCAATAACACTAAGCAATAAGAAGTTATGGGGAGCACAAAAGAGAGCTATGTTACTTCCAAGCCAGGAAATTACTACAAGAATCAAGTCTGTGGGTTTTTCAAAGGACCAGGACTTTTCTGATTTGGAAAGATCCAAGAATTCTTAGGTATCAGAATCACTTAGAGAACTGCTAAAGAAAACAGAAGCCCATTAAAGTAGGAAAGAGCCTGGGACTTTGCATTTTTACCAAATTCCCTAGGTGATTCTGATACTCACTAATGTTTGAGAACCCAGTTTGTAGATGATTAATTTTCCTGGGTGATTCTTAAAGGAGGGTAATGATTTGCTGTTAGCTTTACCAACTCTCATCTGGAAAGTATCCAACAGAGGTATCTTACATTGCTAGACCTTTAGTCATCTCTTTTAACCTTTTTATTAAGAATAATATTCTATCCACATTATATATGATCAATATCCTATCCCATAAGTCTTGGAAATCTATCTCAAAATAAGATCTAAATTTCCTCTGATCTATCTTTTTAGGCAGACATGTCTCCTTCTACTTTTGTTGTCTTTCTTGGTATCTGCCAATATCTGTCTTATTGATTCCTACAACACATGGAAGACTTTTGAGGTTTCATATGTAGTTAAATCACCATTATAGATATTTTAGCTGTAAAAAAATAAATTGCATTCCAAAATCAATACGGTTACCTGTTTCCTTTCCCAAGCTCTCAGTCTCATGTCACTGGTTTCCTTTAGGGAAGAAGGGTAGGATGATTTTTTCCCGAATCTGCTTGGTCTTCATCCCATAGATGATTGGATTGAGTGCAGGAGGGATGGCTATATAGAGGTTGGCAGTTAGTATGTGGAAGGAGTGAGGTATATTGTGACCAAAACGGTGGGTGAGGACAGAGAACATTGCTGGTGTGTAGAATATAAGAATGGCACAAACATGGGAACCACAGGTGTTAAGGGCTTTCTGGCAGGCATCTCGGGATGGAAGATTAAAGATGGCATGAAGGATAAGAGTGTAGGAGATGCCAATGAGGATCAAGTCTGATGTAACAGTCATTATAGGCACAGCAAAGCCATACCAGATGTTGATGGAGATGTCCGCACAGGCAAGTTGGGCTATGCCTATGTGTTCACAATATGTGTGGGGAATGATGAGTGTTCGGCAAAAAGGTAGTCGCTTTAGTAGGAACACACATGGGAAGATGATGCAAAAGCTCCTGATGACAATAGCCATTACAATTTTAGTAATAATCTGGCGGGTAAGAATAGAGGTATATCTTAGGGGGAAGCAAATAGCAACATAGCGATCAAATGCCATGGCCAACAGGATGGCAGAATCCATGACAAAGCTATAGTGGAGAAAGAACATTTGAGTAAGGCATCCAGGAAAGGTGATTTCCTGAGGACCTAGCCAGAAGATGCTGAATGTTTTGGGTACACATGTATTAGATAGGATGAGATCTGTAGCAGCCAGCATGGAGAGGAAAAGGAACATTGGCTCATGAAGGCTGCGCTCCGTGGAAATAAGGTAGAGAAGGACACTGTTGCCTGCAAGGGCCACAAGGTAGATAATAAAAAAGGGAATCCCAATCCAGACATGGAACTCCTCCAGCCCTGGGATTCCCAGTAGGATGAAAGGGCCTGGATTGAAGCTGCTCAGGTTGAATGTGGCCATCATAGCCTTGGATTTGATGTGCCTCATAGACTGAAAATAAAAATTTTGTGGTTGATTGTTACAATGATCTACAGACTCACACCTCTGAATCTTCTTCAGTAGTTTCCCCCTCACTTTCAGCTCTGTAAAGTGATAAACTATTCCTTGTCTCTTCTCTTGACTAATAAATATTTGCCAAACTTTTAGTTACAATGTTAAGTCATAATAGAAGTGGGAACAAAATACTTTTTTCCCAGAGACACAAGTCACATAACTCTAGTCAAACACTTTTAGTCCTGCCTACTTACAAGCAACCCAGGATGTTTTCTAGGAAGATAGGAACACAAAACACTATTAGGCAGAGAAAAATGACTAGTTAGGAATTTGGAACAAAGTTCAATGTGAAGTTCCAGCCCTAGCGAAATGGAATAACAACTGTAGGGTCCCAAGGGGCTGAACAAAGGCAGGCTCAATGTCTCATGCCAAAATAGACTATGCAGTCTCTTTTCCTTTTTGCTCTTTCTCTGCAATGGAACATCTGCCCTGGTTTTACTGTAGCAACGTTCACCAACATAAAGAGGAGACAAAGAATATTCTTCCCTAGAATCTAAGTTTTAGGTGGTTTACTCAGCCTTCAGATATTACCAGCTTGGAAAAGTTTCCAAGAAAAGGTATTATCCAATAACTTAACTCTTTTACATTGGTCTCTGAACCCTCACAAAAGAAACCCCAGCAGAGGGAGCCCAGTCTCCGGGTAGAGTTATGCCCCAGCCTTCTTGCCCCTGTCTCATCTATACAAGGACTCATTCTTGTGAGACTTCATTGAAACAGCTGGGCCCTTCTTCCAAAATTCTTCTATTTGTGAGATGATGCACAAATCGTTTCTCCAACTTCAGTATTCACTCATTTTCCTTTCTACCTGGTCTTGAGTAGTTAGCATTCTGTAGTGCTTTATCTATGTCTGCCATCCCCAAACGCCATGACTTTGTGACTCCTTTGTCGAAGATTCTGAAGTTTTTGATTTTGAAGATAATCCTCTCTCCTCAGCTTGAGAACTAATTACCCAATTCCTGCCATCTTGGAAATCCCACATGGATCATCCAAATAGTGTTGTGAATACCCTCTCATTCCCCCACCTCTCTCTCAAGTTTATATCTCACAGCCTACTATAATAATACTATTATAATAATATAAGTTAGTCATCCCCCCCCCACTTAAACTCTGGAAAATTAAAGATCTAGAAAAGCATGAAAACTTGCTTTTGATATTTAAATACTTCCAAACTGGATGAAGATTCCCACTCAACAAACCTAGGGGATTCACAGTCACTGCACACTACAGAAAGATGGTCTAGAAAGAAGGATGCAACCAAGTGGGAAATTAGTAGCACTTTCCTTGCTGACCTTCAAAGTTCTAGATACATAAAAAGAGGTCTGTGGCTTTACATTTCCATTCTTGAAACTTCCCAGATGTTGTTAACTATACATTCTCTTTAATCTAATAGTATTAGTACTCTTTGATCACAGTCTTTTTGATCACAGTTTCCTGAATAAGATTTTGCATTTAGCAAGCATTCTACTACCTTATTTACTGGTCTCTGATTGTTTGCAGAGCATTTTTCTCCTCTCTCCTAAGGCTAGGAATATTGCAGTGACACATCCTATATCTCTACCTTCTCTGTCTCCTCCATCACTAAACTAAACACAGGACAGGTCCTTCAGTAATACCTTGATCATGAAGTATTTTAATCCAAACCTTGACTTTATTTCTCTTTTTTATGCTAAGTGTGTCTATGTGAATATCTTTCTTCTACTCTATATTAGGGAGAGGAGCGTTATAAATTTTTACCAGAAAAACATAGAAACATTTTAGGGAAAACAGTGAGACAGGCTCAGAATTAAACTCCTAATAGATACCTCATCATACCATTCTCTTAGCATGAGTGCCAGCTTTATAATCTATATACAGAATTATAATTTTGTCCATTCCTTTTCCCCAGAGACCCCTTTTTCTCCACTCCTTCTCTCCTCTTCACCAGCTCCTATTCTCATTGGCTCTGTTCCATACTACTACTTCCTAATAGTTTTACTTTGCTCACCCCCGGCTTATGCCTTGCAGATCCTGGTCCTGGAACTACTTTGCAAAGGCAAGGTGAGGATCAGAGAGTGCAGAAACACAGCAGGTGAAAACAGACCAAAGAACAAAAGAAGCAGTTCCAGGGTAAGTAAGGACAGACATAAGATCATGTTCACAGTAGGGAAAAACCAACACAGAGCCTGGAGGAATGGAGTGCAAATGTACTTCTCATATGTCTCTGGGGGTTTGAGACAAGTTAGAACAGAGGCCCTCTGAACCCAGGGGACCTATAAGCCTCATGTCCCAAGGCCCCAAGTCAGTCTAGGACATGAGCAAAGGTTTTACCAAATAACATTTTTCCAGCTTAGGAATGTACACCTCTATTCATATCAGTGTTGGCTTGGAAATTTTTTAATCCATGATAGGAGCATACCTGGGCCTCAGCGGGGTCTTGATCTAGCTTGATCAGTAATTTGATAAAGAGTCATATCTACCATCTGTCAGCACAATATAGAACTCCTAAAACTTCTTGTGCAGGGACTGTTTCATTTTCTTATGATTCTATGCAGAGAGTATTTCATAGTGGAAAATCGATAAATGTCTGAAATGCAACTGTTTCTATCCTTATATAACAAAACCCTGGAGATATTTCTCACTGGAGCTGCACCTCTCCAGATGTAAAGAGGCCTCTCTTTTTAGATACTTACTTCAATGTTCAGTCTTGCTTGACAATACTGTCAGTGAAGAATCATTACTAATTTTGTGTTCAGTCAATTTTTTAGACCATAGGCTACTAATCTATTTGTCTGGAGCAAACCTCTAACACAGAGCACACACAAATCTGAAAATCATAGATATCAGCCTTCCAACAGAACTTTGTGTCCAACTGCCCATCAGATCAAGAAGGAAGTTTACTTTCAATGTCTTATGGCTAAAACTCTGGAATTTATCCCTTATTCCATGCATCCCTCCCTTTGTGCTTTAACAAAATACTTTAACTGTTCTGGAAATCAGTTTCTGCATCTATAATAAGGGAATAATAACTTGGAAATGCTTAGTTTAAAGAAGAGCTCTGCAGAATAAGTGGGGAAACAGCTATCACCTTAGCGTGGAAAAAGTTTTTTTCCATGATTCTCCGTAACTTTTTTCTCTGATTACTTAGAGTTGCAAATCCGGGTAGACTCCCTTCAAGCAAATGGATTTCATTCATTAATTAAAACTTATTCATTTCAACACTTTTATTCAGCAAATGCTTATTGCATGTCTATTACAAACTGGGAGATTGTAAATGATTGGAATGCAATGGAAAACAAGGCAGGCAAGCATGAACCTGGTCCTTGATGACATCTAATGGAGGAGTAGGCTTTGAACAACTAAGTAGACAAGGAATCATTTTGTTAACATTGTGGTAAGTCTTGAAATAAAAAGTACATTGTGCAGTGAGAATGTATATAAGAGATAGTAATCTAATACACAGAATTGAAAAAGGAACACCTGAGGGGATTTGTAGTTGAATCCTAAATAGGAATTGCCAAGCAAAAAGTAATAATAATAAGTAAAGAGAAAGCACAAATAGAGGAGAAAAGGAGAAATCTGATGCATTTGAGAAGCTCCAAGCTGGCAAGTATGGTGACATACTATCTTAATACATTAACAGTAATATCATTCTTGTGTTGTCATTTTCTCCAACTTCCCCACCCAGGTGCCCCAAGATTCCTTTTTTTCAACTGAGTATGTAAAGAGGACAGTTGAGTTTAGAACAAGTTGAGTTTAGGATAAATAAGACAAAAAAAATAGGATAAATAAGATAATGACTGCAATAATATACTATGGAACCTACACTGAATAGAGAAGGAAGAAAGGAAAGTTAGGGATAATGGCATGAAGGAAGGGGTTTCTGATAAAGTTTGAATGTGTGTGAAACCTTTATTGAGAATAGATGTTATATCACATACTTTCATATAACTGGGCATAAGAAGATGCCTAGGAAGCTTCTGTCTTCAAGGAGCTCATAATGTAGGTGTGGACAGATAAATAAAAGAACAAATAAGTATGATGGTTTGTAACTGTGGCATGCATAAAGCTGCCCTGTCTGGGTATCCTCCGAGGTGCCTAAGGGCACCACAAACAGTAAAGAAAATATCAACACATACAGACACACACACACACACACACACACACACACATCTTATCTCATTATGCCAATTTTACTCTCTACTTCTTACTCACAAGTAATTTTAAATGCTCATCTTTATTAAATTTGTGGCTTCTTTTTCAGTGAAGATTTTAGAAATTGGGCATCTTTATCCTGGGATAGTTTCTTGAGAGGAACATAGATAAATCCTACCCAACTCCACTCAGTACACACTCTACTCACACCAAGTTGTTGTTGTTGTTTTATTTTTTTAATATTTATTTATTTATTTTGAGAGAGATAAAGAAAGAGAAAAAGTAAGGGAAGGGCAGAGAGAGAATACCAAACAGGCTCTGCACTGTCAGCATGGAGCCCAACATGGGGTTCAATCTCATGAACTGTGAAATCATGACCTGAGCTGAAATCAAGAGTCAGATGCTTAGCTGACTGAGCACCCAGGCATCCTCTGTGGTGATGGTGGTGGTGGTTGTTGTTGTTGTTGTTTTAAATAACAAGACATTGAGTATGACAACACAAAAAGAACATCGCTTCTGAAATTACTTGTTCAGAGTCAGGGATGTGCAAATTAAGCAAAGTAAACATAAGTGAAGTATAAATAAATATAAGTTAAATGTAAGGCTCTCAGTTCCACACAAGATTGCTCTTCTTACTAAATTCTTCCATTCCTCTCATTGATCCCGAGGACAATATTATGCATGATCTTGAGGACAATGGAATTATTGAAGAGATTAAAGGTACAGAGTGACACAATCATATGAATTGTAAAATGATCACTCTAGCTTTTATAGAGAGTGGATTGAATGGAGCTCCTATAAAAAGATGACTTCAAAATACTCTCAGAGGGACAAATAATAGAAAGGGGCCCAGGTGGGCTCAATGGTTACGGTAAAGGTCAGAATGTCACGTATATATCTACAGGTATGACTTATCAGCACCTTCAAATCAAACATTTAACCCAAATATTGAATTAATTTTGTTGGACGGTGATGTAAGATAAATCAAGGACAAGCCATGGATTTCTGGCTTGAGAATTCATGTTGGTGGTAGTGCCATTCTCTGTAAAGAAGATCAAAAAGGAAGGGCGCTTTTTATGAAGGAAGTTAGTTAGCTTCCATGTCAGTTTTGGAGAAATTTAGTCTGAGCAGTTTGTAAGCCATTCAAGTGAGTAGATACCCAGGAAACAAGTGGATAGAGAATTCTGAATCAGACAGACCTGGGATTGGATCCTAAGTCTACTGATTGTCTTTCTGTAATCTTTCTAAGGTCTCTATTTCCTCATTTGTGAAATGAATGAACTAATATTACTCTCTCAAAATTATTTTTTTATTTTTAAAAAATATTTTTAATATTTTTATTTATTTGTTGTTTAGTTTTGATAGAGAGAGACCAAGCAGGTGAAGGGCAGAGAGAAAAAGAGAGAAAGAGAGAGAGAGAGAGAGAGAGAATCCCAGGCAGGCTCCACACCGTCAGCACAGAGTCTGATGTGGGGTTCAGACTTACAAACTGGGGGATCATGAGCTGAGCAGAAATCAAGAGTTGGATGCTTACCTGACTGAGCCATAATTATTTTCAATTAAGTTAATTGATATTTATAAAATATGGGCCACAGGTAGTAACAATTTTCTTGGAGTGTCCAATTGAAGAAAATAGATATAATCTCCATGTAAATTGTGATGGATAAGGGGAAAAGTAAAGCAAATACGGGACACAGGAGGAGAGATGATTAATGTTCAGACTCAGGACTGAACCTCAAAGCATCAAGCTTAGTAGCTGTAGTAGACAGCTGTAGTAGACTGATAGCATCTTAAAGAGGGAAGACAGGAGCCTTTGCCTTTAACTCAGGACCCAAGAAGCATAAGGGTGAGGTATATATTAGGAAATACCTAGCCTTCAAATATCTCAAAATTAGCAATGGGAAAGAGGCAAACCTTAGTATTCATGCTCTTCTGTATCCATCATCACCTTCTTCATCCAGGTGGTGAGAAAACTGAGCCAAGAACACCCTTGATTTTCTGGAAGTCTAGAAGGTTTTCTTTCTCCCTTTCCCCCATGTGTCCATACTTTGCATATGGCTGGAACTCTAAAATTTCAGGCAAATAAGAGTTATAGCTTTATTTTTATAGCTTCCTATATCATACAAAATCTCACTTAATCAATTTTACCTAAATTTCTCCATCAGCGTGTCCTCTTCAAAGAAAAGAGAAGAACAAGTTTGTCCTGGATCTGCTTGGTCTTCACTCCATAGATAACAGGATTTAGAGCAGGGAGGATGGTCACATAGAGGTTGGCAAATAAGACAAGCACATTTCGAGGAACACTGTGTCCAAAGCGATGTGCAAGGATGGAGAAAAAGGCAGGTGTGTAAAACATGAGGATGACACTGACATGGGAACCACAGGTGCTGAGGGCCTTTTGGCGGGCACCCTGGGATGAGAAGTGAAAGACAGCATGGAGGATGAAGGTATAGGAAACAGCAATGAAGATCACATCTGAGATGACAGTCATGAGAGGGACAGAAAATCCATACCAGATGTTGATGGAGATGTCAGCAGAGGAAAGCCGAGCAACCCCGATATGCTCACAGTATGTGTGCAGTATCATGCGTGTCCCACAGAAGGGTAACCGTTTCAGCAGAAAAACATCTGGCAAGATGACAGAGAAGCTCCTCACGACAATGCTCACCATAAGCTGATGATCACCTGCTGAGTCAGGATGGCAGTGTATCTCAAGGGGAAGCAGATGGCCACATAGCGATCAAATGCCATGGCCAACAGGATGGCTGAGTCCACTACAAAGCTGAAGTGGAGGAAGAACATCTGAGTGAGACAGCCAGAGAAAGTTATTTCCTGGGAGCCCAGCCAGAGGTTACTGAGCAGTTTGGGCACTGTGGCAGTGGACAGGAGGAGGTCCGTGGTAGCCAGCATAGCTGGGAAGAAAAACATGGGTTCGTGGAGGCTGTGCTTGGTTGCGATGAGATAGAGGAGGATGAAGTTGCCCACAATAGCCAAAACGTAGATGACACAAAAGGGAATCCCGATCCAGATGTGGAACTTGTCCAGGCCAGGTATTCCCATAAGGATAAAGGAGCTGGGATTGTAGCAGCTCAGATTATACATCGTCCCTTCAGTCTGGGATCCACTGGCTTTGAATCCTGAGGACAAATCAGCTATCAGAATGGGCTGTGTAAGACACTTGCACTCTGCTACTGACCGTTGTCGGGAACTGCAACTGTCACATTCAGGGTTCCTGCTTGAGAAGCACCTCTGTCCCCTGGATGTTGGCATCTGTAGAACTGACTTGTTTCACCCCTTTTCTTTGCCAGTGGCCCCACTTCATTTCCTTATACATTTATTAATAAACCTTAAAGAATGGTTATTTTTGTAGGTCAGCAATTTCATATGTTGGCCCTTTCTCACTGTAGATTATGTGGGATAGGAGCAGGTTCACATGGAAAAAGAAAACATAGTATATATGAGCAGAGAAAGGCTTGTGTAGGCAAGGAAAGGATAGGCAAGGGAGAGAAAGAAGCAGGAAATACTAAAACTATGGAATGGATGATCTGTGAGTAATGGGATTTTATAGAGCAAATATTATGTTTCCAACAATGGTTTCGATAATAAATAAACTGAAGAATTTCAATAAAGTAATGAGTAGTGAAAAAAGCAGGAAAGAAAGGACAGGTTCCAGTGCTGTGGGGGGTACAGGAGCCTTTGTTGCACAGGGATTGAAATATGATTCTGATTAGGAGGGATGCTTCCTGGGATGTGAAAATAAGAGAATGCGTCTACCAGAAAATGCACAGGGACAGGTAAGCAGCATTCCCCCGACTCAGGCAAAGGGCAGTGAGGTTGGAGGATGATCTATGTCCTCAGGAGCAACACCCTAAGCCTCAGAGGATCTTGGCCCTCTAACTTGGTAGGGGAGACCGCTGTACCCATTGGTGAGTCTGACAGTGCCTCTGTCGCAGGTACCAGCCAGTGCAATTGGCTTGAGCAAAGTCAAGCAGAGCAGATTCTCACCTCCTAGAGATAAAATTAAAAATAATAAAGTAGTACTGCCCTAATATTTTTCTTTCTGGTCTACAGGTTCATGGACCCCATCTATGGGAATCTTTAACTTTGCACTGAATAGAAATGACCTCTGGAGGCCGTTTTACATTTTAGTTTTAACTCTATTGTATGGTCTATTTTATAAAGTACTTTTGAAAAGGGACCAGCAATGGTGACAAGCAGGGGATGCAGTAATGGAGAGGCCAGCGCAGCTCGAGCCCTCCTTCAACCAGTTTTGGAGAGGTTTAGTTCTCATCCTCTCCAGCAAATCTACAAAGTCATCCAAAAAGCTTTGAAGGAAAGGAAGCAGATCTTGCAGACAAGTCATAGCAGTTCTATATTACTGTGTTTGGCAGGAATCTGTAGTTTTGTGACAAGGAAGGAGGATTTTGTGACATCTCCACCAGAACCCCAGTCAAAACTTTACATAGTGAGGTTCCCTTACATTCGGGACAATTTGCTCACTGCCAGAGTCCTTAATTAGCCAAAGTGGACAAAACACTACCTGGCTGGGAGGGATGTAACTAGTTCCCACTTCCCAAAAGCAGCACCCCCACCCTACCCCAACCGAGACTCATCCTCCAAGCCCTTGAGAATGTATATTCTAGGTTCCATATGCAGCTCCAATTTAGGTTAAATGCCTATGGGCACTGAACTTATTCAAATAATGGTAACGAAAGAGTCTTCATAAAAACTGTCCCTAAAATTTTAGGGATACCTCATCTCCTGTGGTATGAAAAGTAGATAGATTGAGAAAGCCCCAAAATGTCTCTATAATTCAGGCTAGATTGCAACTCAGTCTCTTGAAGCATAGACTCACTACCTCTTGACAAGAAGCACATTTCCTCAGGGTCACAGGGGATATGTTTAAAGGGGAGAAAAATAAACCACTAATCATTCAAACCGCAAAGGAGGTCAACAGAAAACATACAAACCACAGTTTGCTGCTTCAGTCTGAATCTGTTCTGACTTCACTTCTTTTACCCAAAGAGCTCTTCTTTCCTTCTGTATTCCTCGCCGTGGTACTGGCCATGTTAGTGGGTCTGTACATGTAATCAATCGTTTTCTGCCAGGAGCTGTCTCCTTACAGAATCACTGGTACCAGAAGGACTCCTTCCTCCCAGAGTCCTGTACCCCAGGGCACAGACCCTACTTGGACACAGCAAACACAAGGCTACATTATTTGGTAAAGATCAAAGAGCCACTGTAGCGTTTTTTCTCTCCCTAATTGGCTGTAGTGGTCAACTCACCAAATTGTCTTCTATCTCTTGCGTTAGAGTAGTAGAAAGTATCTGTTTAGAAGGAAAACAAGGAAACAAGTAAAATTTTAGCAGGGGAGAGGTGCCACAAGGGTAAAAAGAACATTTTTATGCAGTACCTTATATTCCCAAGAGATAGAACTCAGGTTTATGGGTCCCACCATTTTTTCATCCCCAAAGGAGGAGGTCAAACATATTAACTCCTTTCCTTTGAGATGAAATGTAGGTTGGTGATCTTAGCAGCTGTGGATATTAGATGTGTAGGAGATTCAGTCTAGACAGTTTAGACACAGTAAGTTGAGACAGAATTCTCAGAGGCCTAAGAATGTTCCTGTACTTGTGGTATTCTTAATTAGTCTATTTGTATAAACTTGCACCAATATTATATAAATACAATTAAAGTTTTCTAGTCTTGATATTGTAGTCTTTGACTTTTTTGCCCAAAAATTTCTTAGCCATTCTTTGCACTTTGCATTCCCAAAAATTTTATAAGCAGTTTCTCAACTTATAAATACACATACACACACACACATATATACTCTTCGAGTGTTTGTTTTAATTACATTGAATCTGTACAGTAATATGGAAATACTTGATATGTTTGCAATATGGTAAACTTATATTATAAATATGACATATTTCCCTATTAATGTTGTCATCTTTTAATTTTGCTAATAATGTATTAAAAAAACTAACTTGAAAAGATATCTGCATGCCCAGGTTCATTGCAGCATTATTTACAATAGTCAAGATATGGAAACAACCTAAGTGTCCATTTATGGATGAATGGAAAATAATATGAGATATAGATGTAGATTATAGACATAGATAGATAAATAGATACATATAGTGAAATATTATTCAGCCATAAAAAACAATGAAATCTTGCCATTTATGACAACACAGATGGACCTTGAGGGGATTATGCTAAGTGCAATATGTCAGACAGAGAAAGACAAATATTATATGACTTATATATGGAATCTTAAAGAAATAAAATAAAACAAACAAAAAAAACAGAGAAGACACTGGTGGTTACCAGAGGAAGGGAGTGAGTGGTGGGCAAAATGGGTGAAGGTGGTCAAAAGGGACAAGCTTCCAGCTATGAAATAAATAAGTCATGGAAAGATAATATACAATATGGTGACTATAATTAATAATGCTGTATTGTGTATTTAAAAGTTGTGAGAGAGTAGATCTTAAAAGTTCTCATCACAAGAAAAAAAAGATTTTGTAACTATGTATGGTGACTGATGTCAACTAGACTTATTGTGGTAATCATTCTGCAACATATTCAATTTTTTTAAGTTTATTTATTTTGAAAGAGATAGTGAATGAAAGTGGGGTAGGGGCAGAGAGAGAGGGAGAAATAGAATCCCAAGCAGGCTTTGTGCTGCCAGCGCAGAGCCCAACATGGGGCTCAAACTCAAGAACTGCAATATCATGACCAGGGACAAAATCAAGAGTTTGAGGCTTAACCGGCTGAGCCATCCTGGTGCCCCAATGTATACAAGTATTGAATCATTGTGTTGTACACCTGAAACTAATATAATCTTACATGACAATTTTACCTCAATTAAAAAATACAAATATTCTTTTTTTGTGGGATGCAGAGTATTTGTTTTTTATAGCTGTTATAAAATAGTACCACAGACTTCCAGCTTAAACTGCCAGAAATCACCATAATCATCTAACAGTTTTGTAGTTCAGAAGTCCAGCCTAGGTCTCACTGGGCTAAAATCAAGGTGTTGAGAAGGCTTCTTTTCTTTTTGCAAGCTCTGGAAGAAAAACTCTTCCCTTGCTTTTTCTAGTATGTAGAAGTCCCCTTCCTCCATCTTTAGAAAAAGCTTAATTACTTCTACCCTTCTTCCATCTTCAATTGCCCTCTGACTCTCCCCTCTGTCTCCCTCTTCCACTTTTAAGAATCTCTGTGATTGGGGCGCCTGGGTGACTCAGTCGCTTAGGCAGCTGACTTCGGCTCAGGTAATGATCTTGCAGTTTGTGAGTTCGAACCCCACATCAGCTGTGTGCTGACAGCTCAGAGCCAGGAGCCTGCTTCAGATTCTGTCTCCCTCTCTCTCTGCCCCTCCCCCATTCACATTCTGTCTCTATCTCTCAAAAACAAATAAATGTTAAAAAGAAAATAAGAATCTCTGTGATTATATTTGAACCAGCTAGATATTCCAGGAAAATCTCCCTAGTTTAAGGTCTACTGATTAGTTTTATCTGATACTTTTCTTAATCTGCTTTTGCCATCTAACCTAACATACTCACAGAGGTTTGCAATGGGGATATCATTTGAGTGGCCATTATTCGCCCATTATTCTGCCTACCACACTAAGTTTCAGAGTGTGTAAATTATGTTTGTCACACTCACTATTCTTGATTAGTTTAATCTCTAGATACATTGTCCATAACAGATGCATTTAAATGTCTCATTTTGTTATGTTCATTTCTCCTTGCTTCTTAGCTAATATTTTACATATTGAGGCTCCATTGTAATATACATACATAATGCCTGTATTCACATATTTTGGTGGTTTTTTAGCATGATTCTGGATGGGAGATTCTCTCTGTCTTTTCTTTCTTTCTTATTTCCTCCAGTGCTCATTCTTCCAGTACCTCATCCTGTTCTCCTAGACACTCTGCCCTGAATGAAAGCTTAGTGTGGTGGCTTCTGATCCTGACCGGTGATGGTTTCATGGACACCACAGATCTAGTTACTGAGACAGAAGGAAGACCGGTTCAGATGCTGGGGACAGAATGTGTCTCTGTCTCCTCTCATCTCTAGATAAACCACTTTCCAGA